TCCAGAGATGCAAACACTTCTTCATTTAAATGCTTTTAGTTCCTGGATCCTGGAGAAAGGCTCTCCTCCTGCCTGTCCTGCTGTGGATGTTCAGCACCATGACAACAAACTGGATTTGAATTCTTAACAAGGCAATAAACTGTGAATGTGATGTGTTTGAACAATGTCGCTGTGGCACAAATCGCAGCTAGCGAGCGATGTAGCTAACAGCTCGACTGGTGTCCAAAAGGTGACTTTGCCGAGGTGCTCCCTACATAGTGCACCATACAGTGATCCCTGCAGAGGGAGTGTGTGGATGGTTCTTTATCTGTACTAGACATAGCTGCTCCTCTCAAATCCCAAAAAATCTTCTAATGTCAAGTCCTCACCTTGGATTGAGGCGTCAGTTTGCTATTTCAGGCGTAAGTGTAGAACGACTGAGCGTTTATGGAAATCCACTAAACTAGAGGTCCAACTGGCTGCATCTCAAACACTGAATGAAATGATGAGGGTTGCAAGAACAGCACACTGCCAACCTCATTCCAGCCAACAGAAGGAACTCTTCTCATCGACACTATAAATGTTTTTTCAAGTTTATAAAATGCTTTGTTGATAAACGAAATCAGAGCAGATGTTCCTGCATCATCTCACCATCTTTCTGCGGGTTCTCCTAACATCTCAATTTAAACTCATTTCCCGTTTCCTTGGAGGACGTCACTGATTTCATGCACAAAGTTAAGCCCTCACATCCCCCTTTGATTTTCTCCCTCCATTCCTGTTAATGTTTTTAACTCAGTCGGTCCCACCATTGTTGAGATAATAAATCTCTCCCTATCCACAGGCTCTGTCCCTACCCTTTTCAAGCATGCTATAATCCAGCCTCTGCTGAAAAACCCAATCTTGAACACACCCTTCTATTAATTATAGGCCTATCTCTAAACTGCTGTTTGTCTCTAAAATGCTGGAGAAAGTTGTTGCCTTTAGACATACCCGTTCCAGTCTGGTTTTTGCAAACTGTGCTCAACAGAATCAGACCTTACCCAAGTCACTAATAGCATTCTGATGGCAGCAGATGAAGGCAAATGCTCGTTATCGTTACTTCTTGACCCCAGCTCTGCTTCCGACACTGTGGATCGTAGTATTCTGTTAGATGGGCTAAAGCAGTTGGTGGCTATTTCATGACCTGCCTTGGAGTGGTTTTCATCCTGCCTTTCTCACAGGAGGTTGTCTGTTTTGGTGGGCCACTTCATGTCTGATACAGCCCCTCTGTCTTGTGGTGTCCCACAGGGCTCTGTCCTGGGTCCAATACTGTTCTCACTTGATCTGCTGCCTCTTGGTCAGATAATCAGCTGTTTTAGTGGGATCTCATATCATTTGTCTGCTGATCATATTCAGTTATGTTTCACATTCAAACCCAAAGAAAACAACAAATTATCAATTTTAAATGAATTTTTGCATGCTATTAAAACCTGGATGTCTGACAGCTGCCTTCAGTTAAACACAAGTAAAACTGAAGTGCTTATACTCGCCCCTGACAAATGGATAGCATCCATGAAACAGCATATTGGGCCATTAAGAGACTGTATTTAGCCTGATGTTAGAGATCTAGGTGTTATTTTTGATCAGGCTGTCACTAGACAGCCAGATTACACATTCCTGTTGTTACCAGCACAGCTAAGTTAGCATCCAGGGTATGCAAAGTGGAGCTGGAGATGATTTCACAAGCTTTTTTTTCATCTCGGTTAGGTTACTGTAATGCCCTTTTTTACCTGTTTTTTTTTTTTTTAAGTTTTTTTTTGGCCTTTATTTGACAGTGCAGTGAGACAGAGAGAGAGAGAGGAAATTGGAGGAGAAGAATTGGTTGAGGACCTGTGGAAAATGGCCATGACTGGGATTCGAACCCATGACTTCCACAATGGGGACTGTAGCCCTGCACATGGGACGCCAGCTCAACCAGGCGCCCCACCAGTTTAAATCAGTCCTCTCCTAGCCGCCTTCAGACAGTCCAGATGCAGCTGCTGGTCTTTTAACAGGACCTGAGATCCCACATCACTCCAGCCTGTCGTCTCTTCGCTGGCTCCCCATCAGTGTTCGTGTACAGTTTAACGTTCTGATGCTCACTTTGAAGGCTTTACGTGGCCAATCACCCGTATGCCCTGAACAGAGCTCTCAGGTCAGGCCAACAAAGACGACTTGTTGTTCCTCGATCCAGGTATAAACCCGCGGTGACTGTGCTTTGAGGCATCTGAGAACGTTTTTATTCGGACAGGCTCTTGGTTGACCTGTAGTGGCTTTATTTTATTCATGTATTGTTTTTGAGCCACTGTATTTGAGCCGCTGCTCCCCTGTTTTAGCTGTTTATTGCCTTTATCTGTATTGTTTTATTATTGTTGTAAAGCGCTTTGTGGTGTTGTGTCGTGAAAGGTGCTCCATAAATACATTTTACTGACTTAGACTTAGTTTATGACTGTATACATCTGTATCTGTACAATGTTGCTTAAATAGAGTTGCCATATTAGCGCTAAAATAAAATAATTAAATTTTTAGAATTAAATTAAATAATTGCAATTTTATCATTTTTTTTAAAGTATAAAACACAAGCCCCAAAAGTAAAAAAAAAATAAATAAATAAAAATCTGATGTTGAAAATAGTGTAACACAGAAATACAACCAGTTTTAACTGAGGTCTAACTTTAACTTGGTGTTTTTAGTTCTACTTCATTCTGTCTGTTCTGGTTCCACTGTGACGTCAGAGTCGCGCCGCCGCGCTGTCGGTGACGCAGTTTGCCTGCGACAGTGTTGGAGTTCAGTTGTCGCTCAGAAACAGAACCAGAACCTTCGCCTGCAAACATTCTGACGTTATTTGCTTCGATTTCAGCGTTTGAGGGTGTTCCGCTCAGACTCGGAGGACAGGAAGCCGTGAGTCCGTTTATGTGATTGTCGTTCCGAGGCGGCTAACGGCTAACGGCTAACGGCTAGCCCCGCTAGCGCTGTGGTGTCACTGACGGGACCGAGACACGGAGGTCCTGGTCCTGGTCCTAAAGTTAAAGTTGTCAATAGGAGGAGCTACTGAAAGCCAACCTGAAAATGAGCAGCAGGAAGAACAGTCAGAAGAAGGTAGAATGTGTGAAAGCTGATCAGAAAGTAGTTCTAAAAGACAGAAAGACGTGTTTATCTGAAACCCTTTTTTTCTCTCACTGTCTGACATCAGAATGTTTCACTGCTTCACTTCACATCCACTCTGATCACTGTGACATGATGATGTCATGGCTTTGGAAGCTTCTGATTGGTTAATTGGAGGCACACCTGTGGATGTATTTTAAGGCTCTGCTCAAACACACTGCTTCCTTTAGTGGAAACATCTAAAGGAACCAGCTGAGATATCAGGAGGAGAACCGTGGACCTCCACAGGTCTGGTTCATCCTCAGGTTCAGAGTCCAGATGGCTGAAGGTTCCACGTTCATCTGTTCAGACAGTTATACACAAGGACACTGTTTGAAACAATAAAGAGACACGAAAATAACACGTCCTGGATCTCAGTGAATGAAACATTCCAGCTGAGAATCTTCATTCCTCACATGGTGGAATGTGTTGAGAGCAAAACAACATAAACAAGATCAATGTACGTCTGAATTATTGTCCCATGGAGGTCTGGATGTGGACTCATACTCAAAATAAAAGTGTAAAATCACATGACAGGCTGATCCAGCTTCAGTGAAATCCCTCCAGACCCGTCAGAATGAGGCTCAGCAGTGTGTGGCCTCCACCTGCCTGTAGGACCTCCCTACAGCGCCTGGACTTGCTCCTGATGAGGCAGGATGTTCTCCTGAGAGATCTCCTCCCACACCTGGATTAAAGCATCATCCACTCCTGGACAGTCTGTGGTGAACCTGCTCTCATCCGTGAAGAGCTCAGGGCGCTGATGGTCAACCTGCTGACCTTGGTGTTCTCTGGCAGATGCCAGTCTCCCTGCACGGTGCTGGGCTGTCAGCACAAGCCCCACCGGTGGACGTGGGGCCCTCAGACCACCTCATGGAGTCTGGTTCTGACGGTCTGAGCAGAAACATGCATATCAGTGGCCTGCTGGAGGTCATCCTGCAGCTCTGGCAGGGCTCCTCCTGGTCCTCCTGCACAGAGGAGGAGGTAGCATCCTGCTGCTGGGTTGTTGCCCTCCTATGGCCCCCTCCATGTCTCCTGGTGTCCTGGCCTGTCTCCTGGTATCTCCTCCAGGCTCTGGACACTGTGCTGAGAGACACAGCAAACCTTCTCGTACTGATGTCCATCCTGGATGAGCTGCACTAGCTGAGCAGCTTGTGTGGGCTGTAGACACGCCTCATGCTGCCTCCAGGGCTGAGAGCACTGACAAGATGCAGACGTGACCAGAACATCAGCCAGAAAGGACGAGGACAGAGACCTGGTCTGTGGTCAGCACCTGCAGAAGCTCTCCTTTATAGGCTGGTCCTGCTGCCTGCCTCTCATCTCCACCTGCTGTCTGCTCCATCTGCACAGCAGCAGGTGAAGTGATTCACCATCAGTGCTGCTTCCTACCTGGACAGGTTGGTCTCACAGAAGTCTGACTGACTTAATCCTGACTGACCTAAAACAGGAAAAGTTTGGTCTGATTTAATGTCAGACAGTGAGAAAAGGGAGGTTATGTGTCTTTTTATACAGTGCATGCAGGTGAACAGCTCACTACTGCCCCTAGAGGCCTGGGGCACTCCCGTTGTGTGAGTGGATATTCAGTGTTTTCTTTTTGCAGCTCGTTTGTGTGTTTGCACGTCACCACCGTGAGTTCAGGCTGTGAACAGTCTTCGTGTGTTCTCTGAAATATTCTCTATATTGTTTTTATTCACAGTCGTACTTCAGTGGGAACCTTCTTACTGCAAATCACCTGAGTCGTTGTTCCTCACTGCAGAAACAGCCCTACTTGAAATAAGCCAAATATTCTTAAATCTGGTCAAATTTTCTTGTTTTAAGCAAAAAAAATCTGCCACTGGGGTAAGCAAAATGTACTTGGCTAGAATTCTTAAAACTAGCCACTTTAAGACCATAATGTGTCTTAAAACTAGAAAAAATAGGCTAAAATGTAAGAAAAGTTTGCCTGTTACAAGCAAAGAAACTGTTATGTAAGAAATATTTTCTCATAATAAGTGTTCTGATTTCTTGATTAAGCTGACTTGAAGACTGTTTTACTTAAATTAAGAATTTACACCTTCATTAAGGTTTCCAGTTAGTAAAAAAAAAAGAAGCTTAAAATGAGATGCATTTTCTTAAAACAGAACATTTTTATTCTTGATTAAACTGGCTTTGAGAAATTATAACTCAACAATAAGAATAATAATAAGCTAAAAGTAGCTTAGGACAAGACACAATTTCTTCAAAAAGGAGTTTAAAAAAAGCATTCTTCATTTTTTCATTAAAGTACGGAAGCCGAGAGCGGTCATGGCCGCACATTTTTTTAAACGCCGTTTTCCCGAGATAACGNTGTAACTGTCTGTCTGTCTGTCCTCAGAGCCACCCGTCTCTTCTGTGACGTCTACAACCCTCAGAGTAAAACCTACTGTAAGCGGCTGCAGGTTCTGTGTCCTGAACACTCCAGAGATCCGAAGGTTGGTCTTTGTTTGCGCCAACAGATTCTGTTCTATGGCATCTGTCCTCAGAGATGTGACACTGAATCCTGTCTCAGGTCCCAGCGGACGAGGTTTGCGGCTGTCCTCTGGTCAAAGACGTGTTCGAGCCAACCGGAGAATTCTGCAGGGTCTCCAAGAGGAAGTGTAACAAGCATTACTGCTGGGAAAAACTGAGGCGAGCGGAGGTCGACCTGGAGCGGGTCAGAGTGGTAAGAACTAAACCAAGCGTATTCACTGCAGGTTCTGTAATGAGCTCCTCTGACACCTTTCTGTCGTCCTGTCTGTCTGTCAGTGGTATAAGCTGGACGAGCTGTTTGAACAGGAGAGGAACCTGAGGACGGCGATGACCAACCGAGCCGGACTGTTGGCTCTGATGCTGCACCAAACCATCCAACACGACCCAATCACCACCGATCTGCGTTCTGCCAAGGAAAGATAAGACAGGTGGAGACAGATGTGGGTAGCTAGAGGACATGTTTTGGGTCGTATTCATACGTAGAATCTTTAGTCTCACGAATTAAGCTCAGTGTTGAGGTGTGAACGTGTTCATTCTTCTGACAGTATTTTTATTCAGCTTGAAAGTGAATCTTCTGATAAAACACTAAACCCAGAAAAAGAAAACCAGCTGCAGTGTTTACAGTGAACACCAACAGTGAGAACGTTTTCAAAATATCACT